GTCAAATGGGGGTCGAAAAATGACGTTTTTTTATGCAAAAAGCCCCTGGTTCCCTGAACTCCTCTTACATTTTACACAGTAGCCTAATCGTCTTTTGGGAGATGGTTGGTGGTGTCCTGCAGATGTGCAGTAAGGTTTCGGAATTCTTATTTTCCCACTGGGGGTCAAATGGGGGTCAATTTTTAAAAAAAAAAAATATTTAACATGTTTAAATATCCTGGTTCCCAGAACTTCCGTTATATTTTATGCACTAGCCTTAAATCATGATTATTTCGAAGATGATTGATTTTGTCCTGTGGATGTGTAAAATGGTTTTAAAATTTGCATTTCCATGTGGATAGCAAATAGGGGCAGGAAAAAAATGGCCCCTCCCTAACCCATGGGGTCATGATTTGTACAAACTTGAATCTACACTTCTTGGGAATGTTTCCATATTATTCATGCTTTTGTTGTTCTTAAAAAGAATTTTGAAGATATTTTTTTCCTTTTAAATCTCTATACAACTTTGATCCCTTATTGTGGCCTGACCCTATCCTCGGAGGTCATGATTTGAAAACTAGAAATATGTCCATAGGACATAAATGCCTCGCCGAATGTATATTACTAATGCAACATGAAAATTTGTATGAGTATATGAAGTTTGATGAGAATATCTTGAACAGTTTCTTTAAAATTGAAACAAAAATCTAAATAAATGGATATAGATGATAAATTCTCACAAAATTATCTATAAGTGCATGCTTACATAAAAATATCTTAGATTGTTTCTTTAAAACTAAGCAAAATACAAATTAAAGAGAAGGGAGGTCAAGGTCACAGGAAAGTGCAAGGTGAAACGTTTTTGATGCAGTGGAAGAGCTCTCACTAATACATATCAGCATATTAGGTTTGATAAAAATATCTTGAATGATTTATTTAAAACTGAGCTTAACACTTATTTGAGAAAAGAGAGGTCTATTAGCATAGAAGTTCAACAAAAATATCAGAAATGGTTTATTTAAAATGTAGATAAACACTGATTAAAAAAGTGAGGTCAAGGTCAAAGGAAAAGTCAAGGTCAAAAAAGTTGATGCAATTGATATCTCTCAGCAGTATATATCAGCATATGAAGTTTGATAAATATATCTTGAATTGTTTATTCAAAACTGATCTAGACACTAATTCAAGAAAAGTAAGGTCAAGGTCAAAGGAAAATTCAAGGTCAAAAATTTTGATGCAGTTGAAAAGCTTACATCAGTATGTATCAGCATATGACGTTTTATTGAAGTCGGACATGACAAACACTATATGCCTCGGCCATATTCATGGCAGGGCATAAAAAACTTGAATCTACACTATATGAGGATGTTTCCATATCAAAATGACTAACAAGCAAATTCAAAGAATTGTGGTCCCCTGCTTTCCGTGTCCTAGTGGATGGGATGCCATTGTTTATGACATATTGTTTCAAATACGCACGCCCTATCATATGTCATTCAAAAGTAATCACCAAAGTTAAAATTTTTGAAAATTAGGTAAAACATCAAGGTCAAGGGGTAAAAAAATCATAGCATGCTTGGAAACATCTTGGTACAGGTATTGTACCTGTCAAATATAAAAGTCCTATCTCTTCTCAGTCAAAAGTTATAAGGAAATATAACATTTTTGAAAAGTAGGTTAAACTTCAAGGTCAATGTCACAGAGTCAAAAGTCATGATATATTTAGAAAGGTCTTGTCACAGGTAATATACATGCATAATATGAACGCCCTATCTTTTCTCTTTTAAAAATGATCATTTAAAATAATGTTAATTTTTTTGAAAAGTAGGTCAAACTTCAAGGTCAAGGTCATGGGTTCAAAAATCATGGTATGTTTAGAAAGTTCTTGTAAGTAATGTACATGTGAAATATGAAAGCCCTATCTCTTATTATTCAGAAGTTATGACCAAGGTTAAATTTATTGTGACAGACGGACAGACTGACAAACGGACAGACTGACAGAGATTTAATGTCCCATAGGTCCCTTTTGCGAAAACGGACGACAATAATGCCCTTGCTGTTCATGAGAAGAAGATTTATGATGGAAAAAATCCCCTGCATTTTTCTATGTAAATCATTGGATCCCCATACGTGGCCCCACCCTACCCCAGTGGGTCATAATTTTAACAAATTTGAAGCTACACTAAGTCTATGTAAAGAAAGTTTCAACTTTTTGGGCCCAGTCAGTGGTTGTTGATAAGACTTTTTTAAAATGATACCACCAAATTTTCACTAATTCTTGATTATCCCCCCTTGAAAGAGGGTGTGACCCTTCACTTGAACAAACTTGAATCCCCTTTACCCGAAGATGCTTTGTGGCAGGGTTGGTCGAAATTGGCCCAGCGGTTCTTGTGAAGAAGACAAAAATGTGAAAAGTTTACAGGCGGACAGATGGATGACAAACAAAATGTGATCAGAAAACCAGAAAAACTTAAGTGAGCTAAAAAACTGATGATCACAAGTACTTGGAAAGAGTTACAGTATTTGAAAAGCAGTTTTTTTTTTCATGCATTGTTTTCAGAATCTGAAAAGGTATGACTTGTATCCATGTTGAAAAAGCTTCACATTTCAGAAAACAGTATGATTAAAAATAGTTAATCAAGGTGCTTTGAGTAGCAAAATAAGCTAAACTGGTATAGCTAATTCAACCACAGAGCTTAGTGAATTTTAAAATGCACAACCTTTTCAACTCTTAATCATTCTTAAAATATTTATATCATCATTTCTGATTCAAGGGAGAACTAGAGATATGATCAGAAGTATATCTGTTGACTATTAAAAATGTACATGCATATTGTGTTTTTTAAGTCATTAATGTTTGTTTGTTGTTAAATGTCCCTCTTGGGAATTTTTCACTCATACGGAGACACCACCACTTAAAAATAATGATGACGTACAAGTCGGATTTGAAGTTAACATCACTACTGGACGAAAAAAGTGCTGAGAATCCCAAATTTTACTGATAATGTTTGATAATTACTGATACTGTGCCGTTCTTGCTGATAAATACTGATATTTACTGTTATTCTTACTGTTGTTACTGATAATTTTAGTTGTTTCTGATAAATTCTGATAATTACTGTCGTCTTTACTGTTGAGTCTGATAAATACTGATAAATACTGTTGATGTGCTGTCGATGTTGAGATTTACTGATAATTACTGTGGTCATTGTTCTTTGGCTGAGAAGGTGCTAAAAAAGCTTGAGTGATGATTAATTCGCGAATCGCCGCACTTTCTGTAAGCCCCGCCCCTTTTCACAAACTACGTCACGGATGCTGAGGTTAGACAAACATCTCTTTATAAACATGGCGACAAAGAGTAAAGATAAATACGTTTTTGCAGTTTTATCCGACTTGCCTTCAGACATATCCGAAAATCATATAGGGGGAGAAATTTCATTGAAAGCAAAGCAGCAGGGTTTTAAATATTACAGCGAGAATTATTTCGAGAGGGTGAAAATGTACAAAAGCGACAAGGATAATGAAGTCCGAATTCCGCAAAATGTCACCGCTCCCAACGGAAAAACAGCTCTCCGCATTCTTTAAATCTAGACCTATCGCCAGGTTCCTTGCAATTGGCGCATTGTTCATGCACAGCTGGGTATGTTTTTCTTTTTTTTTTCAAATTTGTTGCATAAAACGTTCCGATATCTTTGCTACGAAAATTGTAAGATCAAACCTGGCAATCGTGTTTTTTTTCCAGAGCCAGTGGGTCATGCTCTCACATTATTGGCTTGCTGATGGCTCTTCAGCATTGGATTCTTATGGGTTTTAAAGCAGTCCCTGATAACCTAACGTGTACTAGTTTGCCCCAGCAATGGTCTGTGCCAAGAGGAAGCAAGATTGAAAGTTCAGCTGCCCCCCAAATTTGCATTATTAAACCCCATCCTGATAGAAAACAGAAACCCGTAGAAAGTGTGTTGACAGAATGCAGGTAAACAAAAATCACATTAAAACCTTATTATTAAATGTTAGCAATAATTTAAACTTATAATGTGTACATGTATTTAAATTTTATAGTTGTTTGATTAAAAGTGATTATTTTTAGGAAGTTTTATGTGAATGGGGAAGATGTTGACCATTTAAAGGCCTAAAAAAAGGATTGCCAATCGGTTACTTGGTGTCAAATATCATGAAGAAAAAAGTGACACATTTGGGTGAAGTTGGAATAGGAAGTGGTTTGAGCACACATGTACGTATTGTAATATAATTTAATAGATTACTTCTCTCTCTCTTTCTTTCTCTCTCATATATAACAAATATTTTATTAATTTAGTCAATCTTTTAATACTTTATCATATGTGATATATACATGTAATTATATTTCATCAAATAACATCAATAATGCATGTACATTATATACTGGGATAATGCACTTTGACAAGAAAATGCTCTGTTGTGAAATTGCACGTTAATATCTATTCAAATTTAAAAGCATTGACTCAGGTTTTGTTTTTAATGCAAGGAACAAAAAAAATTTGAAAGCATTGCACAGACATACCATATTTGGTTAATCAAAGTGAATTAAGAAAGTTTAAATTTTCCAGATAAAATTTTAAAACGTTTGATTCTCTCAATAGCTCTTTCAACATGGACTCTGTGTTTAGCAATTTTCTTGGTAAGTAAAGCATCACTCTTGGACATTCGTTTTCCAATGGTTGCAAAGGGTGGTATGTTTAATTGCAGCCCACATTTCTCTACTTCCTCTTCAATGTTGAATCCTTTATCTGCCATGAGTCCATCTCCTTGGAGTAGGTATCCCTCATCCAGCAAGTCTTTAAGCATGTCTTCAAATTTCGATTGAACAAAAATGTCCTTATCAGATATACCACCACTAAATAACATTGAAGCAAACGTAACTGAACCTCTTGGATCACACACTACTAAACCTTTCATAGTATTGCAGCTTTTATAGTCGCTGTAGGTTTGTGATTGGGCCTTAAGAGATGCTGGTTTGTTTATTTTTATTTCCGTACAGTCAAGAATACCAAAAGTTGTCGGAAATTCTTCTTTAAATTTGGATGGCATATTTTCTTTGATGACATTTCTATGAGGCCAGATGGAAAGCTCTCCAAATCTCAAAAACATGTAATTGATCCAGTATGTAAAAATAACACTTGTTGTCTGTTTACTAATTCTAAATCTGAAAGCCAAGTCAGAATAATGAAAATCGTATCTCAATTTCATAATTGTTAAAAATAAATGATTTTTCAACGTCAATGTCATGACTTCTTCTGTTCTGTTAGTTGGAAACTGTATTGGGATAACTTGATCATTCGGTACCAAAAAAACATATACACCAAGGAACTGATCAGGTGTCAAACCTGTGTAATATTTGAATTGTTTTGCGTCATGAATGATGACATCAACATTAAATTCCTGTGAAAGTTCAGCTTGCAATTTTACATTTCTCTTCTCTGTGTAGGTCTTCCGATGAAGTTGATCATATGCTCCATATACAGCCTGAAGTTTACCATTTAAGCTTTTATTTTCCTCCAAAAATTTCTTGTTTTCTGCAGCCAGTAGTAAAACATCCATAGGTTCAACCCCTGGAAATAAATTGCAAATAAATAAATTAGTTTTTTTAATGATACTTCATGTAATTTTTTTTACAGGCATCCTTCTATGAGCCACATGTGCAAAAGACAGTGGATACAAAATGTGGAGATCTAAAATTACCCTATATCTGTCCAGTTTTACTACCAGATGAATATAAACATCTATCAGAATCTCTAGCAATAGACTTCAACGAAGCTTATAAAATTCAGGAAGAAACACAAGAACAGTATAATTCACAGAGATGGCAGTTAGAGAGAAAAAAACGCCTTACAGCATCAAAATTTTATGAAATATTACACAGAAAATCTATTTCTTTGAAGTATGTCAGAACTATTTTAGATCCAAAACCATTTAATTCTACTTCCACCTCATATGGAATTGCAAATGAAAAGAAGGCCAGGGAAATGTATGTTAAAAGGCAGGGATTACATGTACATGACTGTGGACTCTGCATTAATCCGGAATTTCCATTTCTAGGGGCAACACCAGATGGAATAGTCTGTGACGGAGGTGTAAGTGGAATTATTGAAATCAAGTGCCCATACACTGCCAGAGATTTGACCATTGAAGAATCTCTCTCCCTCCCAAATTTTTGTTTACTTGAAACTGATGGAAAAATTTCTTTGAAAAAGTCTCATGCTTTCTATTTTCAAATTCAAGGACAACCATTGGTCACTGGAGTTACTTTTTGTGATTTTATTTTATTCACTCGAAAAGAATTACATGTTGAAAGAATACATCCTGATGTTGATTTTATGAAAGAACTTGGTTCAAATTTAAGTGAAATATACTTTCATTACTTTCATGATTTAATTGAATAAACTGTTGTCTGCATTTATGTTGAATATTGTCTGCAATTCATAATTGGCATCCATGCACTTACATTTTTCCTCAGTTTGAGTGCATGTTGACAAACCAGTCATATGATGAGTAGATTCATCATATTGTTCTCCATGGTCTTCATGATTTTCTAATTTACTGAAATTATAGAACAACGATCACTGCAAAATTGATCTGCCAGCAAAATGTTTCACATATATCAACATATAATTATAGGGCTAACTTTGTTTAGACCATGAAGATATTAAAATAAACTACAAGTTCTATAAAAGTTACAAGATTGTTCAATAAATAGAGTTACAATTTTTCAAATTTAAATTTCTTTTTATAAAATTTGCATGAGAATAATATATAATGATAAGTTTTTACCTTGACTGATTGTTAAGGATTCCTCTGTTCTTTGGAGGGGGTCTGGATGGCTTGGGTGTGCTGCTACTGTTAGTCAGAGGAATGGGGTCAGGATATGTTGGTGTAGGACCACAGCCATTCATAAAGTGCTGCAATCAAATTAGCATGACTCTTAACAAACATAAATTTTCATTTAAACACATATTCATAATGTTCTGCATATTTAAATTATCTTTATCAGTTCATAGATATGTGTAATATACTGGCAGAATAGGTCCCAACCCATATGCAAAATTTTCACTTCTCAATGTTTTATCATCTTATGATGTGAAGTGCATGTTAACCCCTTACACTATAGAATACATCCTAGTTAGACAGTAACCCCGGCATACACGCACGAGATATTGCTGACATAACAGACGATGTTCAAGAACAGCAAAGGAAATTCTGGCTGATTTTGTTAACACTCTTCGTAACTTCTGATAAAATACGCAAAATCTTTTGTCATAGCGTGGATTCCTAGACTGCATTCTGTAACAACATACCTTAAAGCAGACATAAGTGTTTTTCGTTATCCTGTCGACGTTGAGTTGTGTGTGTGGACGATTACACGCCTTGATCCACCGTCGACATTTGTCTAAATTTGTTTTGGGTTTAGGGAACGGGTAAAATATCACCCCCTCATTTCAACCCGGATACCGACTATCACTGTTGCAAAGTCCGAAAGCACATCTTTTAACATAATAATCTTTTTATATTGAAAATAAATGTACTGTACTAGTTTTGTTTGTCTAACCTTCCGCTTCGCAACTTTTGGTGACGATTACTCTACGTCATACATATTCTCTGATTGGTCAGGTCAATTATCCCGGGAAAATTGGCGATTCGCGAATTATTTTAAAGAAAGTATTTTATCAACAAAATTCATTACAATCTACTTACTAGTTAGATTCTAAATGAAAAAGTCACATGAATTATTTGTTTTCACATTTCATTATTCATTTATTTATTTTTATTTTATTATTATTTTTTTTTTTACATCTTAATGTTAAAATTAGATCATAAATGTTTATGTTTTCCTTTATCTTTTTATTTCTCCTTTGTTGTCAATATCTGAAGGGGGTGGGGGCTGGGGGTGTTCATGCAGTGGTTACTCTACCTATGCAGGTACTGTTTAAAACAAGTGTTTTATTCACAAAGGTTTTTTAAAAAATCCCATCTCATATTTTTTTCCGCATGTATTTGTACTGTCGTTAAAAATTTTAGGAAGCATCTTTAATACAGTCAATGGCTGCAATTAAATTTATATTTTCATGTAGTGAACTTGAATATTTGACAAGTAACATGAGTTCCGTCTGCTCTATCAGTTGAGACCCCCCCCCCCCTCCCCCTCTACAAACCATTCTCCTTTTAACAAGGCGGTATTAAATATTTCTCACAAAAATCTATTCATATAACATATTCTATGCCCTTTAATGAAGAATGTGACAGGTTCAAATAATAAGATTTAATTATGATCTAAAATTTGTTGAATTATCTCTTTTAGCTAGTGCGCTCTAGTTCTATAATTTATGTCCTCACAATTTTTTTTTTTTTTTTTGTGGTATCAAGCTACATGTATCTATCTTTCGTTGTTTGTTTTTGTTTTTTATTTTTATTTTATTTTTTAAGCCATCAGGAACTAGAAATCTTAAGCAGTGTGATTTTCATTCAATGAAATACGCATCTTTCTTTCTTCCGTAATTACTGGTAACAACTAGATCAATTAAAAAAAAATCAATTTAACCTGCTTATACGCGGTCAGTCAGTTAAAATACAAAATAAAACAAAACTTGAAATTACTCGGTTATTCTAAAACACCGTGTAAAATATATACATGTCCACCACGTGTAGAAGTTTCTACTTTCGTTTTGAGAATCGGGTCAAATATTAGTACATTTTGTATTTCTTATACGACATGCATTTAGTAAAATTAGAAATAACCTTGTACAGAGAGTATAATATTTGTTGTCCATTCCATCTCTCGTTGTGCAAGACCAGTGTACTCAATGTACACGCGACAGGATTCAATATCATGTAGTTATTCAGACTATAGAAGAAAAAGGGGGGATGAAAGACTGTTAACTAAGCTGATAGGCGCAAGGTTGATTCTTTAGTTTTAAGCTCCATAAGTTATACATGTAATAATTACTTATTATCTATAACATAAGTGAATAAATTATTTTAGAGAATCAAGGAACAATACAAAATTCAGCTATACCATGATTCATGAGTGCGATTGAGGCATGTTACTGACATTCAAAATTCATAACAGATTTTTTTTTCTCGGATTCAGCAATGCGGAGTTTTTGCGTTTCTGAATTGTGAACAGTTGATGATAATTGCCAAATCACTAAACCATCTTATAAAAAAAAATCTCGTACAAATTTTGCATAGTTATTTATTAGATAAAGTCGAAATTCTCGTCTCCGTTTTACAGGCCCTTAAACACTGTTAGCAGAGATTCAAATCATGAATTTACATGTAGACGCTCCCCTCGGATATTCTTTTAACTTTATCTCAAGAAATATACGTAAAACTAGCAAATGAAATTAAATACTGAGCAAAGATCTACGTGAATTAAAATAAATTTATTTTATTTTAACATGTTTAAGTTACTTTATTTAATTAATACTTTTGTACAATGTATATAACTTCATTTCTTTTCCTTTTTTTTTATTTTTGTACTGTGTCCTATTTTGCTAAACATTTTTCTATCAATTTAATTTGTCAACAAAATCGATAACAAAAATTAAATTTTTTGTGCGTCCATAAAGATTATTCCTGCTCCAAGTTGCAAGTACAGTCTCAAGAAGAAATATATTCACCCCTGTTTCCATCTCTCAATTTATTTAAAAAAGCATAACATTTATCAGTTTCGGGCATATTTTCAGGGGGAAAAATCAGAAAGACGGAACATTAAAAAAAAATTTAAAATATGCATATCTTTGGGAAAGAATAAAAAAAAAATGCTATCACTTAGGGCCATGAAAATGATTGTTGGTCCTCTCTTGACCGAGTGAATAAAGGTCCGAATCAAAATTTTTCTATTCTGCTGGATTTTTTTTTTTTTTTTTTTTTTTTTTGTTTAATCCCGATTTTTTCACATCCATTAATAATTATTTCAAGTTCAGTGTTTTTTAATGAAAAATTCACCAACCTCCTTACCCAAATTTTTTTTTTTTTTTTTTTTTTTAAAAAAAAGCCTTAATGATTTGTATATTACAGTGACTTATGTTAAACAACCCTAAGCTCTATTTTAGCACCTTCTCAGCTCAAGAACAATGACCACAGTAATTATCAGTAAATCTCAGCATCGACAGCGCATCAACAGTATTTATCAGTATTTATCAGACTCAACAGTAAAGACGACAGTAATTATCAGTATTTATCAGCAAGAACAGCACAGTATCAGTAATTATCAAACATTATCAGTAAAATTTGGGATTCTCAGCACTTTTTTCGTCCAGTAGTGCATTCATTTTAGGAGTTTTCAACAATTAAGATGTAAAGAGATAACTCCTTCCCCTTGCCCCTCCCCTTCCCAGACCCCTGTTTGTTCATGTATGCAAACTAGTCTAATACTTTGGTTTGACATAAAAAAAATGTGAATATATACAAATAGTTTAATGGTCCATCTCTTTGAATGATTTTCATTCCTAATTCTAGTAGGGTACATGGGTTGACCCAAATTCTTGAATGAAATGTCAAGTAATCTTATCATTGATGCACTTTTATTTAATTTGATGTAGTCATATTATGAACATTTTCAGTTCATTAAGAGAGTGGGGATGACCTCCAGGGGTTCATAACCTTAAACCATTAGATGTACATAACATAATAACACAAGAAACAAAATTATGTATAGTCAAATGAAAAAGTTTTCTACTATTTAGGAGTCACATGATCATTTGTCATTTCAGGGACAGGGAGCGGCTAGGGAGATTGGAACACCCCCCCCCCTGGAATTTGCAGAGTTATTTAAATAGGACTATATACTGATTTACAGAAGCAAATAAAAAATGACTTCAAATGCCCTCCCCCTTTAAAAACATGGACCCCACCATCATTGTTTTTATATTGTTTGTTTGTTTGGTTTTTTTTTTTTTTTTTTTTTTTTTTTTGCTCCTCAGGAAATTCTGGGCTGGAATTTTTTTGGACTGAGGTGTGGACACCCCCCCCCCCCCTCCGGAAAAAAATTCCCGGATCTGTGCCTGTAACTGAATGTAATGTCGACAACGGGAGATAACTCTTCAGAATGTGAAATTCGTCTATTGTGGCATCCGATGATCCACTCTCTACCATCGGGCTCATACATTCAGTGTCTGAGAGAGAAACGAACGACAACTCTGCATAGGAGATTGCCGATGATCTTTGATCCTTTTTAAACTTTAACCTAACCATTTGCATTTCGGTTTATTTTACCCCAATATATACTTAAACTTGTACTAACTGACTGTCATAGGTCCTGTCAACTTCATGAAATATAATCCAATTAAAACACAAAATGAATTAATTTCCACTGATATACATGTAAAACTGCACCACACCATGTCACATAGCATGTGCAATCTAAAAATGATAATGGTAAAACTAGTACTAGTACTGGTAGGGTGACGCAAGCCCAATGTGATGTAGAAATTTTCAATAAGGTGTTCACATACATGTACAGTACAAGAACAAATTTTAAATTATCATAACAAACGATGTTTTAACATAACTTTGCCATCTAGGCCTATTTCCAAAAACAGGCAAATTGTGTGTGTGTGTTGGGGTGGGGTGGGGGGCGGGGGGTAGGAAAATTGATTGGGTATGGCTTTTCAAGGAGATTTTTGCCTAATCAAATACTAAAAAAAGTTTGCACATTTTGATAAATTCATCAAAAACGTTTTGTACTAAAATAATATTATTTGTTGTTGAGAAAATAAATTTGAAAAGTTCCAATTATGGGCCAAAAATTTATATCCCCCCCCCCCTTTTATCAAAACCTAATTTACATCATTAATAAAATTCTGTTATTTCAGACTGGTAATGAATTAAGTATATGAAATGCGTATAAGAGGTTCATGGGTCACATGGTCACCTAAGCATTTTATGCTCGATTTGACGAATACATGTACTGTGTAAATTATAGAATTGTTTGAACTTTTTCCTTGGTAAGCCCAATATGAAGGAGTGTGCATTTAGAGGCAAACACCTTAGTGCGGGTATTACTGTCTCATGCAGCATCTAGTTATGACTTTTTGTCTCTCTTAACGTCCTAAAGAATACTATAAGAATTTTATTTGTTATCCATAGCAATAATATATTAAAATAAAAGCATATCAAACTCGCACTTCGTGTTAGGTCGATGATGGGAAATTTAGAATATTAGAAAACATTAGATAAGGATTGAGGATTTTTTGCTAGTGAGTAGCTCAACTTTCTGTCCGTGATATTTGTCGCAGAAACAGTTGCTGTGTTGCGATTATTTAAGATTTTGATTACTGACAAACATTTCTTTCTTTGTCCTATTGTAAGTCCAAGGTTATCAAGTTCATCGCCTGACATGCCAACAAAACTTTGAATGCAGTCGATGTCATTCTTCTTAAAGATCTTTTCAACACTTTGGAGTTCGTACTTTGTTAACACTTTTTCAAAACTCAACTTATCAAATCCCTCAGCTGAAAAAAAAACAAACAAAATGATAAAAATTATAAAATAATTTAATTAATCAGCATGCAAATTCCAAGCCTTATTTTTATTTTATTTAAATATATCGATGTAGTTGAATAGAAAAATTTATATGTAAAATTATATCCATGGCCATTTACCTATGGAAATTATTTATATAGATATGCATTGTTTATTCCTTGTTTGAGCTAAAAAGGAGATTTTCCTTATTTTTTATTTATGTAAAAAAGTTCAAAACATTTATTAATGTGATACTATTTGAATTATATCATACTATGCAGTACATAACTGTACAAATAGATATAGAAATGGTTGAAAATTGTATCTCATATGAAAGAAATGCCTCTGAATAGACTATTACATTTTTTATGTAAAAACAAAACAAAACAAAACAAAACAAAAAAGAGTAAACATTATTTTGCCAGTTGCTTTGGCTAATTAGTAATGTAATAAACGTTTGGATCAGCACAAATAACGAAGAAGATATCAAATTTGTATAAAGTTCATGTATCAGTCAATTTTTATGACCGTCTTATTGATCAAGTTGTAAAGAGTAGTGTATTAGGCTTTATCACATTTTTACCGTGAAAGATTCTTATTAATCCTTTAAATAAAAGTTATAATGTAGCAAGTGAAAGTTATACGATGAGAAATATCGAAATTATATCCGGCATCTTTTTATTAGTGAAATTTAAAAATCTCAAGAGATTCTCGATTTTCCTTTTCTTCAGGAGGAATTTTATAAAGAAGATATTCCTTGTAGAAAATGTACTAAATGGAAATTTAATATATGGAAACTTATAAGTAACTCCTTTCATTCATATGTCAGGATGATTCGATATTTTCATACGTGCTTTGCAATTTTGAAAATTAATAAATGTCCCACTTGTGAAATAAATTCTATACTCATTAATAAACATTGGATATTCTCCTTGTATAAGATATAATGTTAAACAAATTTTGACTTACTTTTCTCCGAATCCAAGACAAAAAATACTTCGTCATTATCTGTCGCATTAATATCCTGTAATAAGGAAAGATATCCTCTTTTAACTGTTTTTAAAAGAATTATCAAAAGAATAAACTCAATAGTTATTCTGCATCAAATTTTAAAATGTTTTATCTTCTATCACCTCTAGTTACGAGTTTGCTCTTAAAATGAAAATATTTGACTTTTCACGAACTAAAACTTTGAATATTCACCCCGAAGGCAATGACTCTCTCTCTTTCTCTCTCTCTCTCTCTCTCTCTCTCTCTCTCTCTCTCTCTCTCTCTCTCTCTGGTTAAAATAATTAATTTTTATTTAATTTTTTTAAATCTACTCATCAATCAGAATATAATTTCTCAACGATATTTGCAGTATTTTCTTCCACAAATCGCGGATGATTAAAAAGCCTATGATTTGCAACATTTGTAAACACAGATCCGAGCCTATATTCCGATGTCGAAGAATCCAAATATGGACTTTCTTGGATCTTTTCCAATAGACGTTTTAAAAGTTTCAAAGGTACAGAGTAAAGTTGGGTGCGAATGTGATAAAACCTAACGTAGTACTGTTGATTTACATAAGGTAGTAATGAATCAAGGGAGACATAGTGTATAAATGGTTTATTGTAAGACTGTTGCCTATGAACACGCTTACGTCTCTGTGAATTGTTAAAAAGTCCAATCACATTTACATTGCTACACTGTAGACTGGAAAGATTCCCAACACTATAGACATAGAAATTGCATCCATACGGTAATGTCATGCCTAGTTTCCTTATCCGATATTCTTCTCCTTTTCAACGGAAAAGGTGTACTTAAAGATGGATTATTAGTATGGTGGCAAATCATTGATGGCATTCTAACTTTTATTGATAAAATAGAATGATCAGGTAAATGAAAGTGTTTGTGTAAAAGCTGCTGACCCCAATTGTAAATTTGAACCCCAATGCCCCCGTAATCTTTTTTTTTTAATGAACCCTTGGTTTTACCAACATAAATTAGCTCACAAAAAGTATATTCTATTCCGAAGACAACATTAGATTTGCAGTTCAAAGGTTTGATATAGAAGCTCTGTCTAACATAATTATTAGTAAAAATGAATTAGTAATCAAATCATCATAGGTTTTGCAGTTTCACACAGAAGATTTGGAAATAGAAGACAGAAGACTTTTGATATATCCGGCTAAAGTTGGGCCTGATTTTCCAGACGCGATTTATGAAGGACTCTTCCGAGATTCGGTGAAGGCGTTAGTTCAAATATCTAGTCGAGTCGAATTTCCAACGAGATTACAAAAAGGGAGAACCAGGTATTTTTAACCTATTAAATTCATTAGATAATAATTTTTAAAGATATAGCACTGTCTTTCCATTCATTGATAGACGGTCAAAATTTATGTGTTATTGTATTCAAGCAAATAGATATAAAAAAGTCTTTTAAAGGAGTTATTTTATGATTTTTTTTTCAAATGATATACAGTACCGACCAGACACAACCTAACAGAAAGCGAACCCAGAGCGCACCCCGGGTTCGCTCTCTGGGTTCGCTTCGGGTTCGCTTGGGGTCCGCTAGTGCTGACCCCGAGCGAACCCGGAGCGCACCCGTAGCGAACCCGCAGCGAACCCAGAGCGGACCCAGAGCGAACGCTGAAAGCGAACCCCAAATTCAGTAGCGGTCCCAGAAAGCGAACGCGCGTTCGGTATTGCGTAACAGAGCTGTCAAATCAGGATTATCGATTAACTCATCAGCGCTTCGACCAATCAACATGCTGAACAGGTCTGTCAATCAGGATAAGTGATAAAATGTGTTGACCATCAGCGCATCGACCAGTCAACATGCCACTTTATAATCTAAATATTGTACAAGCAAAGCGTGTGAATATACAGTGTAAAAATATTATTAATATGATTTTTAAACATGATTTTACATTTATATACTCTAATTCTCCAGACAACATGCAATATTTACACATCTATTTGCATTATTTTTTTATTTTTAAAATCTATTGATACATTATATATTTTATTATCCAGGTAGCATATTACATGTATAGTTGAATATTTATTTTCTTTATATTTTTATAATCCATTAATATATAAATATACATTGCGTAAACTTATCAGACAATAAGTACTTTAATTTATAATAGAAAAAAAGAAGATAATAATGGTTATAACATATGTTACTTAAAAAAAAATGGTCTTCGATAAATTATAGAATTTTGTTATCTCAAGATACAGTATAAGAACATGTACGTGCTTTAATTTAATTATTTTTTATTAATTATTTCAATTTACATGCACGTTTTAATTTTTCCAGATCAACTTCGAAATTATCGATCTTAATAATTGATCACAAAAAAAAAAATTAAATGTACATTGTACAGGATAAGTGTGCATTATGTCAATACGTAAATTGGAGAAAGAAAATCTCATTTAGCTACTATGATATTTTTTTTAAATTAATCTTTTACCAAAATTTGATAAATAGCTTGATTTAAATACATGTATATAGGGAAAGATTATTTTGTCAATTTTAATTATCCTACATGTAGACCTTACTTTGTATGTTTTTGAATTTTTGTAACTACTTGCAAGTCAGTCAAAAAAAAAAAAAAACAAAACAAAAAATAAAAACCGCAAAAATGCTTATCACTTTCCTTCGCGTCGATATATATAATTATACAGGTTTACATGTTCATGAACCTCTTACATGTACTACATGTAATTTTCGAAATACTTTATATGAACATAAAAAATATACTAGACGGGTACGTTTTGTACTTGTGCATGAAAAGTACACGTAATTCCAACATTAGTAAATTGAACTTGCAAAGATACCTTAATACATATATTTTTTTCATTACATAGGTACCTGTATTTGAACTTTGTAATTGTCATAATTATTTAATTTCAACACTTTAATAATTGTAGTTTCAAAGTGAAGCCAAGGTCATCACGTATCGGTAATCATCCACCTGTTTCGAAAATATTGCGGGTATTAAGAGCAACTGCGGTGTTTTTTTTTTAAATTGGCACTTGCTAGCTGGATGTATATACTGTCTCCATGGTCACGGTATTCCTGAGTATATACTCCCCCCTACATTCGATGCCCCTTAAGTTACATGTACCTCGTCTGGGCACGTTATAAATGCGAAATTCAAGGGGTGGGTGGCTCATCGAAATAAAACAATAAAAAAAAAAAAACCAAACATCGGACGTTATTATCTTAATTTCATCTACTTAATCATGCGAGTTTACAGTTATTGAATTCTTGTTTTGTTTGTTTTCTTTCTTGTATTTATTTATTTTTAAGCATTTAGAATTTTGTTTGTTAACATGCTGCTCCAGTATGTACATGTATGTAGTTGGGCGGGGGGGGGGGGGGGGGGGGGTCATGAACCAGTAAGGAACACAAACTATTCAAGTGATCATTTACATGTATTTGAAAACACCTTAAGAAAAATAATATATTCTTATCAGTGGGCCAGTTATTAGTTTTTGTTTGTTTGTTTTGGTTTTTTTGATTGTTGTTGTTGTTTTTTTTTTATAAGTCTTCAGTTAAACTCGCCTTATAAAACAATGGTTTATAGCATGGAAGTAAATTATAAATGATCTGTAAAACGAAACTCAAGTTACACTGTATGAGAATTTTTAGTGATTATCACGACCTACATATACATGTAATGGACGACAACCTAGCTTAAATATAAACTGCTAAATATGAAAACTTAGCATTTTACGTGTACAGTATATCACAGCTATTTTATAGATAAGATCGTAATTCAGTTGTGTGTCTTTCAAACATTTAAATTACGATTTAGCAATTGCAATTACAATTGGATGTTCCAACTTATTTAAAAACGCATGAATAATATAAACAAATGAATTTGAAAGCTTTTTTTTATTAAGATACTCTTATCAATTTCACTCCATCCGATACATCGAAAATAAATTTAACACCTTTTCTTTTTTTTCTTTCGAGATATACTTAGCTTGTAAGTTAAGAAAAATAAAAATGATAATTCTACGTCGAATGTACGGTGGAATTCTTGAAAAATTATCAACGTTCTCCATATTGTCACTTACATGTACATGTTTCGATCGCCATAAAAACAGTGATGATCGATTTCACTACTATATTTGGAATATACAAGGGGCGGGGCTTACTGGCGGCAAGATTAAAGCGGGGTCCGCTTCACGCATGAGTGCGTAAAGCGAACCCAGAAAGCGAACGCCGGGTTCGCTCTAGCGGACCCAGAGCTGACCCCGAGCGAACGCAGAGCGAACCCGAAGCGCACCCAGAGCGGTCCCAAATTTTATGAAAGCGAACCCGCAGCGGACCCCGAGCGAACCCAGGAAGTGAACCCGGGGTGCGCTTTGGGTTCGCTCTGGTGTTAGGTTGTGTCCGGTCGGTACTGTATATAGATCAGCAATATGGTGCTTTATGTCTATCTTCTTGAAAGAGATAGGAATTGAATAATTCAGAATAAAAGATAAACCAAATGCATAAAGATGTGGAGAAAAAAATCCTGAATATGGAAAAATACTCAGTGGTTGGGATCAATTGGTGTCCATTTCTAGTGGAAAGCAGAACTATACATACATATTAGTTTACCCTGTATTTTTTCTATATTTATTTGGTTATGTGAAGGATATGAATTTGATTGATTGATTGATTGTTGTTTGAATTTCCATTCGAGATTTTTTTTACACTCATGTAGAGACGTCCCCATATACCAGTGAGGGGCTTCAAATATTGACATTTACTCGGCACTCGGGGCCATTCCGATGTCGATGAATCCAAATACGGACTTTTATGGATCTTTAGTAGTGAGGTAGTGAGGGATCTTTATCGTGCCAACGCTTGCCACGGGAAAGGGCCACGGTTTTAAGGTCTCATCCGAAAGACCCACAACTTTCACTTCCAAGTGCCGAGCGCATGGCGAAGGAACAGTTGCTACCTTTTTTTTATCGACTCAGGTCTGTCGAGGCCGAGATTCATACTCACGACCTTCTGATCGAGATGAGTTTGATATTTGGGTAATTTCCTTAAAAGAGCATTAAACAGCATTAGCGTTTTCATGCGTGACTAAAAACAAAGATCCCCACTTCCCGACCTGGCCTCAAAGAACATCAAAATGTTTAATTTAAAGAATATCCAAAACTTTTAACTCAATTCTTATCGTTTGAATTTTAAAAATTAGCATTGAATTTAAGAACCTAAAATGTAATTATACTTAAGAAATAAATAACACGTTTAAAAACTTCATTGGGAATTGAAGTGGGTCGGTCACGTGATCAAATCCTTTATATATATAATTTTAAATCAAAATGGTCAAATGACGGAAATGTCTTACAATTTGCTTTACTTACAGTTTTATGCATAAAAGCCTTCTGCGAGTTATTAAGAGAACAAACTGATTGATGATGTTATAAAATCAGAAAACTAGAGTTATTCGTCAATTCACTCTAAAATTAAAAGAAACATATATGAAGATATAAATAACTTTTCGACATTTTGTGGCAAAATTCACACAAAATTTAATATTTCGAAATGTATTAAATTTGACGCAGAATGTCAGGAACAAAGCGATAGTTTGGGACAAATAATTTAAATTAAATAAATTGTTTTCTAATTCCTGTGAACCTTTCCTTGGCTGCAACTACTTCGAATCCTCAAAATAAATGAATCTTTTTCAAATTTGTTGGACAACTACTACCGGCATTTTGACATAAGAATGAAAATAATAAATTATTCCGAACGCAAATATTAAAAGTATTAATGGTTGCAAACTCTTAAACTTAAGATGATTAAGATGATCAAAATAACTTTAATTAAATCTCATTAAAATTACTTATTGAACAGAATGTCAAATAATTTTTAAAAAATTCAGTTCAGAGGAAAGACAGATTGGAACTTCAAAAACACTGTCTATCTTCAGCTTAAGAAAACCTGATGAAAATAAATCAGCGTATCAGATTCATAAACTTTAAATCCTTATGAATCACGCATGATATTCAGTTATATGCTTTTTAAATTTCTTTTCATATATTTGTTTACATGAATTCTTGATTGGTTTCATTTTCACTCGGCAAATTTTTGATCTACAGATAGGACGTCAAGGGTTTGAAATTCTACACCCCCCACCCCCCCCACCCCCCCCCCCCACCCCCCCCCCCCCCCCGTGACGATCGTTATTAAGACAGTTTAAAAATGATAAGATTAAGTTAATTTTATGTTTTGCGTCTTTTATTCATTTTTAAGACACATAATAAATCTTTAAATGTAAATATCAGAAAATGTTATCTATAGTTCACGTTACATAGCTTACAATGATGATATATTGTATCTTTTAGGCTAGTTAGAATATATGGTAGCTGCAATAATGTAGCCCTCTCCATTTTTTTTTTTGGGGGGGGGGGGGGGGGCTACAACTCCTTAGGATCTCCGTAATGGTGCAAGTGCGGGAGTGATTCACTACCGCACAGATTTCGGCTAAAATTATCAGTAAGTGGGTATTTTGTTAATATATCATACCTGAACTCATAAAATGTAGTTATGCAGGACATGAATTGATCCAAAAATACACAAAACAATCCGTATATAGGTTATTTTTCGTGTATGTCAACATCACAACTTGAATTTATCCGCCATGTTTACTGACCTTGATCGATTTTATTTTGGGACAACCAATGAGAATTTGGGATCTAGGGGAGCGGATCTGTATGGATTTCCCTTATTATAAGCATAAATATCACTGTTTATGATAAAAATATCACATGGAATGCTTTTATTTATCGATGTTTAGTGATACCATACAACACAAACATTTATCAACACCGACATTTACATTATCAAGTGATTCTAAATTTCAAGTGCAAGCCTCAGTACATGACGCGAGAACTGTCATGGCTGCTGAGGTGAACGACTGGAAAACACGCAGATTTATTTTACTTGGTTTTCGCGTATAAAGGCCTATGATGTTGATAGTGAATAAAAATTCCGTCTTATTGGAAGTAAGTTGAATGCAAAAAGAATTTGTTTTGCCTGCAGTCGCCCGTATCTAAATAATATATTTGCACCATTACGGGGATGCAGTGGAATTGTAGCCCTCTCCTGAAAATATCCGATTAAAAAAAAAATCGGAGAGGGCTACATTATTGCAGCTAAATATATGGGTGTTGCTTTAACATATCCTGTGACGGTACATATTGTCTTTTTGTACATATTATCGTCGGCGACAATATGAACCTACCCTCGCTGAAGATATTGTCGTCCATCAGTACACGGCTGAAAAGTTACACATGCACATAATGTCGCTGGCTACATTATTTGCCTTACCTTCACTGCACATATTGTTGCTCCCACGGATATTACTACTTAAAGCTTTTTTGGTTGTTTGTTTTGTAGTTTTGTGAATGTAATTGATTTGTATATCACACTGAAGTGTCTCGCATGCTATTTCATGCAGCGTATATTGTGATAGTGCATTTTGTCGTCCTGATCATTTTGTTTTCGGCGACAATGTGTACCTACCGTCACTGCGAATATTGTCGTCCATCGATATCAGTGCATTTCACATGACAATGCTTGCATACAAGTGATTGATCATTGCTTTGTTGTTTTTTTAAACTTTTAAAAGATTTTCCTATATATTTCTAACATGTAAAACATTGATCGCCCATTGTGGCCCCACCTACCCCTGGGGGTTTTGATTTGAAAAAAAAAAACGGATTTTGTTTTTGTTTGGGTGTTAATTTTTTTTTTTTCACTTACATGGAGACGCCACCACTTGCAGGTGGAGGACTGCTTTAGATCTCTACTCGGCACTCATGACATCAGGGCCACTGAACATTTAAGGACCTTTTTTGTGCCATCACCTAAAAAAATTAACGTACGTACACTATGTAATGAAGCTGTCACGTAAGTATCTCTTCTGACCAAATAGTTCTTGAGAAGAAGATTTTGAAAGAAATTGTCGGATATATTCTATAAAAAAACTGTTATCATCCATTGTAGCCTCACCCTTCCCCCAAGAGATTTGATCCCAATAAACTGAATCTACACATTATAATGAAGCTTTCTCATCAGTTTCAACTTTACTGTTAAAATTATTTTTAAGAAGATTTTTTAAAAGATATCACTTAATTTTCACTGATTTCTATCTACTCCCCTTGAAAAAGGGCATGAACCTACATTTGAACAAACTTGAAACCCTTTCAAATTTTCTACGGATGCTTTCTGACAAGTTTGGTTGAAAATGGCTGAGTAGGTCTTGTGAAAAAGCTGCAATTGTTAAACGTTTACAAACAGACCGACAGATGACAGAAAAATGTGATCAGAAAAGCTCACTAGAGCATTCAGCTCAGGTCAGCTAAAGTGTCAACCCCGACACAAGTTATATCGGCACATGTATAAGAATAACGCTAAAAATAATTTCTAGATAGTAATTACACATGTACTTAGCAAAACAATGGCATTCAATCTCCAAGTATATATATAACGAGAAAACAAGAATAGGCTGATTTCTTAAGAAATACATGTACAGCATCTTGACATATCATATCAGGATGTTCACGAGTCTCTCTCTCTCTCTCTCTCTCTCTCTCTCTCTCTCTCTTCTTAGTAAATATTCTTCAACACAATATATCGTCGTCAAAATGTTTAAATGCTCATAGTACATATTTTCGCCGACGACAAAATGTACCGATACATGACTGTACATTTTGTCGTCCATTATACAAGAGAATAAAAGGTTTCTTTCGGCACATATTGTCATCGGTGACAATTAGCACCGATGGAGGACAATGAGTAAAGTAAGGGTAGCCGGCGACAATTTGTACAGAACAACAATATGTACCGTTACATACCCTCAAACTGAAACTGGCTGATCATTATAGATTGCATCTTACAGTAATAGGATATTCCAATTAGTGTTATCATCGAGATTGTAAAAGAAAATATTATAATAGCAGTATCCATATTTTCTATTAATGAATGTTAAACTATACTTACAGTGTCGAATATGTCTGCATCTGGAATATTAAATATGTATGTTAAGAAAAATAGTTATTTTTAACCTAAGGTAACATGATTCCAATTACAATTTAAATCATATATTTTCTTCACTTTCGTTCGTGGCTAATTCTTAAAATATACCCTCACACCTCACATATATATAGATACCAAATTGTTATATGGCTCACTTAATATATCTTTCTTACTTTAGCGAATTAATATACATGTATGCTCAGATGTGCCTGCATTTATTGTTTTTCCACTACAAAATCCAGTAGCAAATGTAGCTTGATAGCAATTTACTGAACATATTATATATTTCTGTGTGGTTTTTAAGCTTGTCACGAGGAAACGCCAGCTTTTGGCGCCTTTTCATTTTCGATTTATGTTAGATCAAGACGTCCATCGACGATATTGCTTGAAGTTATGATCTAACTTAAATTGAATCAACATTATGTCATCCATTCAAAAAACTTAAACCAGGAGCAGAGCAAACATGGACCTCTAAAACATCATATTTTATGGTGGAATCAGGTGCAATGAAGGAGTAAGCATCCTCCGCCAACCGGACACACCTGACAAAGTCATTGTATCGACCAAAGAAATGATGACTTTGAACGAGACTATTGATATTCTTGTTTCATCGACTTGTCTGTCAGTAAGTTACCTTGTTTTAGAAATTGTTCAAACGTAGAGCATTCTCTTGCTTATCGAATAAACTGAGAGATATAAACCCGGTATGCAGGTGATAAGGGTATATTGCTGCATAAGTAAGGGAAGTTTACAACTGAAAACTGAAAGTCATCATGTTTTTCATAAAGCTTTGTTGTTAGGTTACCATTAACGTCTTTTTCTAGCAAAATATCAAGTATGAATCAGACGTGTCAGACACTGTGGTACCTTTAATTGTAAGCTCACTGGGATATGTCGTATCGATATATGAAATAACTTTTGTTTATTGCTAATATGTCGTCTATATATATATAAATGTCGAGTTGAAGACCACAGCAAGTGTTTTCTTCTTCTCATGTATAAGATTTGAATAAATTCTGCTTCATACGAATACAAAAATAAGTATACTAATAACAGGGTGCAATTGTTACCCATGGGATTTCCAAAAGATTGTTGGAAGACCTGGTCTCCAAAAACCACATATATATTGTCAATCAGAAATTCAAGTATTTTTTTAATATCAACTTCAGAGTACTTGTGAGTACAATCAGAATGATTTTAACAAAATAAGTAAATGAACAATGACAAGATAAGTAAATTAACTAGTTTCGTTTTTATTTTTTAAAAAAAGCGCTGTCAATATGTCAAAAAGCCTGGACTTTAATTTATCGTGGGGAGAATGGTTGTATATAGAGTTGAAAAGTCGTAAGTTTTTATGCCATTGATTTTAATTATTTTTTTTTAATTTCAAATTTTCCAAAATTTCCTTGGAATTTTTAAGTATCCACATCTGATATGCACAACTTCTCAAATACATTGTTGCACATTACTCCTGATGTTTCTCCTCTGTTAATACTTTACTTTAGGCTTGGAAGAACACTTACCGGAACCCGCTTTGTTTCTTTGTTTGTATGTATTGTTATGAAGTTTTGGAATTTTATATAGATATGGTAATTCAAATTCATTTTGGTTGTTGGGAATATTAAAAATATTCTTAACTGACATATAGTTTTGGAGAATATTTTGAAAATCAACCTCAAAGAACTTGTATCTAGAATCAGATTTTTTTATCAAACTGTCTGCATATGACTAATGAAAATGAGGTAGAATTTGCAATATCCATTAATTAAAAAAAAAATCTCTTCTTTATAATATACATTAAAATATACTGATCTATAATTCATTTTAAGGAAAGATTGCATACAGTATTAAACAGTCAAACATTTCGATGATCATTTTCAAAGAAACTATAGCTAAAATATAACATCATGATTGCCATTCCCTTGGCATAACTTAAAGAAATGCTGAAGCATATTAAGTTCACTCCGTATCATGCAGACAAGAACAATTACGTACCAGATCACCAATCCGGAAAATAAAGTCACATAAAATTTCCTGGCTGTTGTTTATAGTGCAATATATTTCATTTAAAACAAGTTTTATGTCAAAATGGGGATACTGAAAGGAGGATTTAAAGCATCAATATTCGTTTGCCTAAAAGAAGTTTAGATGTAAACCACGACATCATAAAATGCTTAAATTATAAATATTCAGCCTTATTTTCTTTGGAAGCCTCACAGTTTTAATTAGATGTTTTCTTTTGCAACACTAGTCTATGAAATGCAACTAGGCACTAATAAAGTTCCCACACTTTTGCATATACGAGGACTGTTCGGAAATTACTGTGACATTTACCATAACTAACTAGAGGGAAAAGATAAATTTATTGAAGCAAAGAAAATATATTAAAAATATAAAAATACTTGTTATTCCAGGGTAATACTGTTGATTTCTTGATATGCTTAAGAAATTTTTTAAAGCGAAATTTTTACGAGATGCACAACTCGAAAATATTTTCATATGACCGAAAAAAATCTAAGTCAACAGTTTGCTTGCAGGTTAATGTTCTTTCGCTATATTACGTTTTGACAAAAAATACGGAATTTACATCATCATCAAAATAGCCTCGAAAAAATTACACACCCGAATATGTCCCATTAAATGAAGCAATCTTCAAATAGTATCTTTATTTTATTTTAGTATAACATAATTACTTCTTAGGTTTGTCACTGATCTTTACAGAAATATATCATAGACAGCGAGGCGGAGCCGAGTACGTCTATGAGATTGATAAATCCGCTGTATTTCTGTAAACATCCAGTAATAAACCTACAATGTAATTAGTGATTTATTTTCTCGAGGATCAGAGTTTTAAAAAGATAAACGCAAGACAAACCTGTACTTAATTTATCGACCGGTGGGCTAGATAGGGACTGCTTTCAAAATAATGTTTAACAAATACACCTATTGAAAAGCATTCTTCCAAAAGATATTTTTTTATTGGTTTGAATTTAAATTAATAAAAGTTTTTGCAAAATCCTATGACTTCACAGGAGAATGTACCCAACAAATATTTACTATAGTTACATGAGTAACACTTGTAGGGTATATGGAAAAAGGCATCGCCGTTTCAAAAAATAGTTTCCTCCCTTTGGGAACCATTAATTTCAAAGAATAATAGTGCTCACCATTTTGCTGTTATTCAAGTATGTTTTTGACATCGCAAGTCGAAATGTTTTGACGTCAGAGTCACTTTGCTTACAACTATGGTGCGTTCCTTTCACGCTTCCGATTGTCCAGAAAGCGTAAAATTGCAATGAACCGATTTGGAATCCAATTCCGGACGGGTTCTTTCTGTTCTTTCTAGAAAGGAATTATTACGTCACAAGAATGACGGAGAACTTGTGCTGTTTCAATGCTCAGACTGCAATTTTTACTTTTTGAGCATCAATGATGTTCAAATGCACAGAGGCATGACGGAATCAATGTCACAGACTCGAGATTCTTTGAACGCTCTGCCCCCTGAGCATTTTGATTAGTAATGACTATTAATGAGGGAGTAGTACCAGGGAGAAGCTTTGATTTTCCAGGGAGTAGTCTCAGATGGGGAAGAAGTTGTTTCTAAGGGAAATGGACATTTTATTGTTTTCATTTTATAAAGAGTAATAACAGTAGAGGTAAACTGAGAAAAACTTTGATGCTTTGAATTAGTGCAAAACTTTACTCAAGAATTTTTTTTTTTTGTAAATTCAGTGCCTTATTTTAACTTAAATTATATATGAATGATGAAATCTTCTGAAATTATATGATAATAAACATATATCCCCTTTTAATATCAGAAAATTCCTTGTAAGAATTTAAAAGATTTAAATATAATGATCTGAAATTCATAGTAAATATATATAAAATTTACTTTAATGAAAACTTTGAATTTTAGTAAACCATAGTTAAATATAGAAAACAATAGTTTGCTAAAGTACTTATTTGTTTTAAATTCCTTAAATGTTTGTATGTTACTGCTATCCAACAGTCAAGTTTGCAATGAAATATCTCTTGCATTGAGACACATCTCATTCTGTACCGACTCTTACACGTTTTATCATCTGTAATAACTCGTTGTTGTCTAGCTAATCTGGTACATGTAACACTTACTGAGTAATTTTTCAGACAGGTGTTCACAAATGCAACAAACTTAAGTCCAAAACACGTTTCCTTCGCAGTCTATTAAAATTGATGTTTGATCGGCGCAAAGGTCTTCCTAACCTCTACACTAACTTATACACTAACTGCAGATATAATGGGACTTGTAGCTACAAAGAACTACAGATTTTAATACTTTGCACTGCACTGGATAATCCTACCATGGGCACGTTAATGTACCATTTAAACTGAATCTTAATATTTGTCAAACATCTTTCATTTATAGACAATGGTTATAATCCCCTCTCAGGAATAGTAACGCATTCGTTTGTGTTCGTCTGTGGGTGAGTGAATTAATTCTGTATGAAACGAAAGTGAGGTACTTTGCATCGGGGTCGATATGCTCTTTTTGAGGGGATGGTTCGCCCTTCTGTGCCATTGTTAAACATGTTATTCGATTTTTTTTTTATTAAAACACGTGGATTAGAGAGGATATAATGTCTTGATGATTTTCGAACAGTCCTTGTATTAACATAACAGGGACAATATGCCTTGCAGGCTGTGGAATACTAAAACTAATAAGTATTTTTTTCTTCATTACTTAAATCTTTTTGACCATAACTGAGTGTCTTCAATTATACAGTAGAAGTTTTAAAAGATAAAAAAAAGTATGGTGATGGGGTGGTATGACAAAATGTCCAATAGGAGGAGAGATTGATATATGCTACGGTAACAAACAAGAGGCTCATGGGCTACAACGCTCACCTGAGTAACTAAGGTCCTGGTGTTCTCCAGGGCTGGGATTAATAAACATACTTAAGATTTGTGCTAAGTTTCACACTTCAGTATAAAATAAATTCTTAGC